AAATATATACATGCTGCAGAAAATGTCTCTTTTTGAAGATAAATCTGATCTTATCTGATCTTATCTTATCCTATCTTATCTTATCTTATCTAATCCTATCTTATCCCATCCTATCTTATCGTATCTTTTGTTATCTTATCTTGTTATGTTATCTCATCTAATCTAATCTTATTTATATTATCAAAGTACTTTGATTGTATCATCGTTAAGGAAATTGATCTCGTGATTCCTGGTAAGAGACAGAATATTACCGTCTGTGGTAGCTTTTATTTTGGGCTATTTCTCATGCATTCTAAAGAGGTGAGTTCAACTCCAGCTGCTACAGCTGCTAGTTTCCCTTTAGAACAAATCAACACAATAACGGTGGTTTAGTGCCAAAAAAAGTAAGACAAACGTATACAGAAAAAACCAAGGAAAAGAAAAGAAAAGAAGTAGGTAGGACCTACCAGTAGCGCCCTCAAATCACCAGCCAACCTCAGCTGGAGGACAGAGATTGTCGGGGAAAGACGAGGATAAAAACAATATATTACATTGTAGGTTTTTGTGAGAGCATCTTAGCAGAGAAATGAGTGGTCAGCAATGATGACCAAATTCTGTTTCAGATCTAGCACTCAATGGTGTCAGGTGTCAGGAGTTGTCATGACATCCACACTGCGTGGCGTTCATGTGACCACGCCACATCTCATGCAAGTTTTGCTCTTGTCAATAGATATCACATTTCCTTTCAAGGATATTTTAAAAAGCGTAAAATCTTTCATGCATCTTTTGCACGTGTCATTAAAAATCATATTTCCTTTCAGGGATATAAAGAGATGTATAATTATGTTAAATTAATTGTCGTTTAATTAATCCTCAGGTAGCCTCTGATGGAAAGTTTTTCCTAGCATGTGGGGGTTCTCTTGTGAAAAAGAATAAGATCGTGACTGCTGCCCATTGCGTGGTATCTGAGTAAGCTGTCTTCAACTCTGATTTAATTCTTTTAAAGAAATGAATGTTTTACGCTCCCTGTTGATACAGTAAATATCATTTAGAAGGCCGGTTTCTACCCTGAATGTCATGACTAGCCGTGGCTGAGAGGGATAAAACGTTTGAACAATAAAGCCACGATACTACATCTTTAAAAAAAAAAATTCCCTCACAAGGATAAAACTACGGTCCATTACGTGTGTTGCCAAGCATCTGGACCTGACTTCTATACCACAGACGCAAATTTGAAGACTCCCAAATCAGACAAATCTTCTGAAATAGCAGCAATACTGCAGATATACGTGAGGGCGATGGTACAAACGGGACATATTTTTTGAAAGTTCTTTTCATGTTTCAGTACTTAGAGTTAAGATAAAGCAAGGAGGAAAGAAGGAAAGAAAAAAGGAAGGAATAAAGTAAAGAGTCATCCTCAAAGTCATGGTAAGTGTGTGTGTGTGTATGTGTGTGTGTGTGTGTGCGTGTGTGTATATGTGTGTGTGAGCGTGTGTGTGTGT